CAATCTGACACAGAGTCGACTCAAGAGCAAACTGATCAGGCTTCTACAACGCTATTAAATAGTTGTGGGTCAATTCCTACTAATTCACAAGTTCTCTTGTCGACTGCTATCATTTTGGTGAAAGAGTGTCTTGGTAAATATCAAAAGATTCGAGCTCTGCTAGACTGCGGATCTCAAACATCGTTCATTTCTGAAAAGGCTTCAAATAGGTTAGGTCTTCTTAAGAAAAACGCAAATTTAACGCTTTTTGGTATAACTTGCAATATAAATGAAGTCAATAAAAAATGTCACATACAAATAAAATCTGCTAATTCTGATTTTATTGCGAATATTACTTGCTTTATTTTGCCTAAAATAACTAGTGACATGCCGCAATTTACAATAACTTTAAACAAACTCAACATTCCCGATGAATTATTCTTAGCTGATCCACAATTTAATATTTCCGCACCCATTGACATACTATTAGGTGCCGATATATTTTGGAAAATATTAAAGTCAGAAAATATTAGCTTAGGGAAATATCTTCCAACTTTACAAAATTCTGAACTAGGTTGGCTAGTTTCAGGACCAGTAGGATATCATGAGCAAAAACGAGCTATTTGTAACCTTTCTATAGTCGATAGAGATTTATCCAATATTTTATTAAAATTTTGGGAGTTAGAAGAGTTACCTTCATCTAAATTACTATCACCAGATGAAATTGAATGTGAAAACATCTTTTTCAATACAACTAAACGAAAAGCAAACGGTAGATTCGTAGTGCAATTGCCTCTTAAAGGTAGTACCAATAGTTTGGGCGAATCTAAATCAATAGCACAAAAAAGATTCTATAATCTCGAGAAAAGGTTATCACAGAATAAACAATTGCGCACGATGTATACATGCTTCATGAAAGAATATAAATCCTTAGGACATATGTCATTATCACTAGGTAATGGTAATCAAAATAAACCTCAATATTATATGCCTCATCATGGGGTGCTTAAAGAGGAAAGTTTGACCACAAAACTGCGCGTGGTGTTTGATGCATCTGCGCCTACATCGAGTGGAGTCTCTCTTAATGACATTCAATATGTTGGACCCACCATACAAAATGATCTATATACAATATTATTACGTTTTCGAAAACATAAATTTGTATTATCATCTGATATCGCTAAAATGTACAGGCAAGTTGAAGTAGATCCTAACCAAAGGAGTCTGCAAAAGATTCTTTGGAGAGAGAATCCTATAAAACCACTCTCTGAATACACATTAAATACGGTCACCTATGGCCAGGCCGCAGCTAGTTTTTTGGCCATACGTTGCTTATTTTCATTAGCCGATGAAAGCGCAAAAGACTATCCTGAGATCGCAAGAATCATCAGAGAAGACTTTTACGTAGATGATTTGCTCACCGGAGCCGATACGATTCAAGATGCCACGCGAATTTGTCATGATATTTCTAAAATTTTAAAACGCGGATGTTTCGAACTGCGAAAATGGGCTTCTAATGAACCAATTATTTTTCAACACATGCAGGTTAATCAACCTTGTGGTGTTCTAGATTTTTCCTCTGATCAATATGCTAAGACCCTTGGTCTTAGATGGTCAACTCAAAAGGATATCTTGGTGTATAATATAAATAATGAGGATTATAATAAGCATCAAAAATACACCAAAAGAAATATTCTATCCTGTATAGCAAGAATTTTCGATCCATTGGGTCTTTTAAGTCCCTGCATTATATTTGTCAAAATTATCATGCAAAAATTGTGGACAGAGAAGATATCGTGGGATGATCCTATACCCTTTCATTTACAAAATGCTTGGTCCAACTTTCAGTGCGAACTTCCTTCATTAGGTAAACTTCTCATACCTCGACGTGTGATTTGCGATAGTCCTATTAAACTGGAATTGCATGGGTTCGCGGATTCATCAGAACGTGCCTTTGGAGCATGCGTTTATGTTAAAAGTATTAATTCTGAAGGAATCGTTCAGATCAGCCTTCTAAGTGCGAAGTCTAAAGTAGCACCTATAAAAACTTTAAGAATTCCACGATTAGAGCTATGCGCAACTTTATTATTAGCTAAGCTTGTTACAACGATCCATAAATCGTTGAACATTAATTTCAATAAGCAATTTTTATGGACCGATTCTACAATAGTTCTTGCATGGATAAAAATGAGTCCTGGTAATTTAAGGACATTTGTCAACAGAGTTTCCAAAATACAGATTTTAACAAAAAACTTTGAATGGAGGCATGTCGTAACTCACGAAAATCCCGCCGACATGGTGTCCAGAGGAGTATATCCTAGTCAACTCCATATCTTGGACATTTATTGGTTCGGTCCTAAGTGGTTAGCATCAAATGAAATTAACTATCCAAATAATTCAAACAATCCAGACGAGGTGCCTGAACTAAAATCTAACATTTTTTTGTGTCAAATAAAATATGATTTTCCATTTAATAAATTTTCCAAGTATTCACGTTTGCTCAGAGCTGTAGCATATATATTAAGATTTAAACACAATTGTCTTAATAAAGGCAACCAATTAAAAGGTTGTCTAACAGCACAAGAATTAAATCATTCTTTAACAACAATCATTAAAATCGTTCAAGCTCAATCATTTCCTTATGAAATTTCAGCACTTAAAGCTAATAAGCCTCATAAACTCAAAGGACAAATTATAGGTCTAAATATTTTTCTAGACAATGAGTCTATACTTAGAGTAGGAGGGCGATTGAAACATTCTTACTATCCCTTCAATAAAAAGCATCCAATATTACTAGACTCTAAACATCATTTTACAAAGCTGTTATTTCAATTTAAGCATGAGGAATTGCTACATCCAGGACCCCAATCACTTCTATACAATATTAGAGACACTTATTGGCCAATAAAGGGGCGTAATCTAGCAAGGTCTGTAGTTCACAATTGCTTGAGGTGTTTTCATTTTAAACCGAACTCGATAACACCGATAATGGATAATTTACCTTCTGAACGTGTCGTCCCTTCTAGCCCATTTTCTGTGGTAGGTGTTGATTATGCTGGTCCTGTTTTTATAAAGGACAAAAAGGGTCGCGGTTCTCACGCTATAAAGGCATATATAGCATTATTTATATGCTTTGCCACAAAGGCAATTCATTTGGAGTTAGTTTCGGATTTAACTTCCCAATCATTTATACTATCTCTGAGGAGGTTTATCTCTAGGAGAGGTAAACCTAACAAGATTTTTTCCGATAATGGTTCAACATTTGTTGGAGCAAAGAAGGAACTCAATGTGTTCTTGAAATCCAACCAAAATAAATTACAAAATTTTTTCGCAATGCAGGCAATAGAATGGGAGTTTATACCTGCATATTCTCCACATTTTGGAGGTCTGTGGGAGGCCGGTGTAAAAAGTACTAAGCACCATTTAAAGCGAGTTATTTATAATGCATGTTTAACTTACGAGGAATTATCATCTGTGCTATGCCAAATTGAAGCGATGCTTAATTCCCGTCCTATATCCCCTCTAACCACCGATCCTAACGACCTAAATCCACTCTCACCTGGCCACTTCCTTATTGGTAAACCGCTAACAGCTGCATCGGATGAAGATGTCACTGATATCTCTCTCAATCGGCTGACTAGATTTCAATTGGTGCGGCTTTGTCAGCATTTTTGGAATCGATGGTCAAAGGAGTATGTTTCCTGTCTCCAGAACCGAACGAAATGGAAGGACAACTCTGACCTTCTTCGGGAGGGAACGATGGTGCTCATCAAAGAAGATAAAACCTTTCCAACTCAATGGCCTCTTGGTCGAATCGAGAAACTACATCATGGAAGTGATAAAATACCAAGAGTAGCTACAATTCGAACAGCAGATGGTTTAATCAAAAGAAGCTTCCCCAGAATTTGCCCTATTCCCATGTTGAAAGAGGATTCCTTCAAGGCCGGGGGCATGTCTACGCCTATGTCGTCTAAGAACGATTGATTACCAGAGGTTTTGAAGTGACACTTAGAATTAATTAATATAATTTTGAATCACGCTTGTCAATCACTTTTTATGTTGTATCATAGTTATTCTTAAAATAAAGAATTTTAAATAAGTACAGTCCACAGTCAATGCTCTCCGATCAACAATCCCTAAAATATATTGCGGTTGGTTGATGCCGTTCAGGAAATTTATTTAACAAAAAAAAAAACAATTTACGAATTGAAAATAAACAAATAAAATCTAATGTTAAACCAACTATAATTTGACAGTTATAAAACATATTTTTGGCTCGCGTACTAGACCAAATTGAGCAGAGCAGCAAAACTAATTAGAAAATTTTTAGATGTTTATTTCAGCATTCATTTGAAAGAAAGTACCATGTTGTAATACATTTTTGAAAAGGGAATTAACAATTCTATTTAATGCAATAAAAATCCAATATAGCGTTCATAAGAAAACACAAAGTTACAGTCAATATCTCTAAAACGGAAGGAGATATTCTTTTGTTTTATTTTTTATTGTAAAGAACTTAAAAAAGTGCCCATAGAATGTCTAGACCAAAATACCGTATGTTCTCAAATAATTGAGATAAGGAGGACTGTCAAAAACCCACCAATTTGGTTTTTCGCGATTTATTAAAAAACCAATAATACCTGACAAAATGTAATATCAGTTCTGAAATGGTAATAAAATCCTGAGAAACATTGCCCATTTAACCGATATTGTAGCTCTTATAATAACCGAGATAGCAATATATGCAGCACCAATCTGGGACACAGTGTAAATGTAATAGTGGATTTAATTTGTTGCACTAGGTGTATGTTTTCTGCACTAATCGCATTTGATTTGTTCAGTGTAGCTTCAAATAATAGACACATACTTGAGTGTAGCATATACTTTTGACAAATATACAGTGTCTAATGTGATACTAGGCAACAAATAAAATCCATTATAAATTACACTGGCACATAAAAATTATTTTAATTTTTAACTTTTTATAGCAGGTTTCAGTATCACAACTTAAAATTTTTTAGGGCCTATTGGCAGTGCCTTGGTAGATCGATATGGATGCCTAAAAATGACCGTTTTGGGTAGCTTAGTATGTACCCTTGGCTTCGTCCTGAGTACGTTTGTGAATTCATTATCAGCCCTCTATATAACTTTTGGTATTATAGGTGGCATAGGTAAGACGTTTGTTTTTATAGTTATTTTTACAATGCATTTACAAATTTTTTTACTGTCCATCTCTAAATTCCTGTGATATATCCTTACTCCGATTTACGTTCAAGGATGTGCTCAGTCTTGGTTTATAAAAAAATATGAACCTTATTGTAGTGAAAATTGGTTTTTAATATTTTTAATATGTTTTAGTTACTTATTTAATTTATAATTTGTTATAAAATACCCAAAATTTATGCATATTTTTTTATATTTATAGGAAGGGCTCTCACTTTCGTCACAGCAGTAGTTTCTATTGCATTTTGGTTTGAAAAGAAAAGAGCGATAGCTCTAGGTTTAGCAGCTAGCGGTACTGGTGTTGGTACGATGGTATTTGCACCCTTAACAAAGCTATTCATTGACGAATTCGGTTGGAGAGGAACAATGTTAATGTTAGCAGGATGTTTTCTTAACATGTGCGTATGCGGGGTAATCATGAGGGACCCGAAGTGGATAATTCAAGAGTAAGTTTACAGTAAGTTTGGTATAAAATTAATAATAACTATTATAAACTGGTAATGGCAAACAATACTTTATAAAGTAGATTATTGTATAAAATAAGTAGGCATAGTTTGATAAAAGTTAATAGAAAATAACAAAGAAATCCCAACCGCTTCCTATGGTCTAAGAAGAGGTTGACTTAAGCCACACCCTAGAAACATGAGTGAATTAAATTTATGTTTTCTAATGAAATAATTCCTACGCTAATTTGGTCTATTTTTACAATTGCGAGTTCACCTTGTAAAGTGTTATTTTCGTTTATTTTTTATTTTACATAGACAAATAATTTATATTAGCTGAACAGGAACCTTTAGTATATTCGATTAACACAAAAAAATAACTTTTTAATGATAGCTTCCTTACAACATCTGCTTCGTCTTTCATTTAAGTAGGAATAGACACTTTTGGATGGAAAAATGTTAAAGACTGTAGGAAATTTCTTATTTAATTACAACATTATTGTTCAACTGCCTCAATTGTATTTTAATTTCTTACCTTATTTTCAAGTTGTATTTAATTATGTTAATTGATTTAATCGTTTTAAATCATTTTTAATCATTTTTAATCATTTTTAATCGTTTTTAATCGTTTTTAATCGTTTTTAATCGTTTTTAATCGTTTTTAATCGTTTTTAATCGTTTTTAATCGTTTTTAATCGTTTTTAATCGTTTTTAATCGTTTTTAACGTTTTTAATCGTTTTTAATCGTTTTTAATCGTTTTTAATCGTTTTTAATCGTTTTTAATCGTTTTTAATCGTTTTTAATCGTTTGTAATTGTTTTTCATCGTTTTTAAACCTTTTTAATCGTTTTTAATCGTTTTTTATCGTTTTTTATCGTTTTTTATAGTTTTTTATCGTTTTTTATCGTTTTTTATCGGTTTTTATCTTTTTTTTATCGTTTTTTATCGGTTTTTTTGTCGTTTTTTTATCGTTTTTTATCGTTTTTTATCGTTTTTTATCGTTTTTTTATCGTTTTTTTATCGTTTTTTTATCGTTTTTTATCGTTTTTTATCGTTTTTAATCGTTTTGAATCGTTTTTAATCGTTTTGAATCGTTTTGAATCGTTTGGAATCGTTTTTAATCGTTTTTAATAGTTTTTAATAGTTTTTAATAGTTTTTAATCGTTTTTAATTGTTTTTAATCGTTTTTAATCATTTTTAATCGTTTTTAATCGTTTTTATTCGTTTTTAATCGTTTTTAATCGTTTTTAATCGTTTTTAATCGTTTTTTAAAAGTTTTTAATCGTTTTTATTCGTTTTTAATAGTTTTTAATAGTTTTTAATCGTTTTTAATCGTTTTTAATCGTTTTTAATCGTTTTTAATCGTTTTTAATCGTTTTTAATCGTTTTTAATCGTTTTTAATCGTTTTTAATCGTTTTTAATCGTTTTTAATCGTTTTTAATCGTTTTTAATCGTTTTTAATCGTTTTTAATCGTTTTTAATCGTTTTTAATCGTTTTTAATCGTTTTTAATAGTTTTTAATCGTTTTTAATCGTTTTTAATCGTTTTTAATCGTTTTTAATCGTTTTTAATCGTTTTTAATCGTTTTTAATCGTTTTTAATCGTTTTTAATCGTTTTTAATCGTTTTTAATCGTTTTTAATCGTTTTTAATCGTTTATAATCGTTTTAATTCATTTTAATCGTTTTTAATCGTTTTTAATCGTTTTAAATGAAAGCCAATTAAAAATCAATTAAAAACCAAATAAAAACGAATTAAAGGCTAACTAAATAAATTAAAAACCAATTAAAACCCATTAAAAACCATTAAAAACCATTAAAAACCATAAAAAACCATTAAAAACCATTAAAAACCATTAACAACCAATTAAAAACCAATTAAAGCCAATTAAAACCAATTAAAAACCAACTAAAATCCATTTAAAAACCAATTAAAAACTAATTAAAAGCCAATTAAAAACCAATTAAAACCCAATTAAATTCCAATTAAAAACCAATTATAAACCAATTAAAAAACAATTAAAAACCAATTAAAAACCAATTAAAAACCAATTAAAAAACAATTAAAAACCAATTAAAAACCAATTAAAAACCAATTAAAAACCAATTAAAAACCATTAAAAACCAATTAAAAACCAATTAAAAACCAATTAAAAACCAATTAAAAACCAATTAAAAACCAATTAAAAACCAATTAAAAATCCATTAAAAATCAATTAAAAACCAATTAAAAACCAATTAAAAACCAATTAAAAACCAATTAAAAACCAATTAAAAACCAATTAAAAACCAATTAAAAACCAATTAAAAACCAATTAAAAAAAGTTATTAAAGTAGAACAGTTATATAAATACTTTGCTTACTTAGATAAGAACTTTCCCACGGTCACTAAAAGTTTACCATGCCCAAGTGTATCCAGACCTACTCATTTATTACATATGCATTTGTTTTTATTAGTATTTTATAGATGATTTATTTTTTTAGAGAACGTGAAAAGAAAAAAGTTAAAAAAAATAAAAAGGAAAAGAAAAATAGAAAAGTATCTTCTGTACAAAATGACGAACTTGTTTTGCAAAGAATTAACACTTCGTTAGATCTTTCAAAACAAAATAGAATTCGGTCGGTAATAGATTTACCGACGTTTGTTAAAGAAAATGAAAAAGTAAGTAATCAGTCGAATCATGATTAAACATATTATTCGTTAAATTCCAATTTTATACTATTATGAACTCCATGACAATATTGCAATACGTGAAATTATTAATAATGGATTTTTAAATATTTTATGTCGAACACAATAAAAATATTATTTTTCATAAAACTGCTTACAGACTTTTCATAAATTGGCAGGCTTGGCGACTATTATTTCAAATAAAAAAAGCGTCCAAGATGTAAGACTGTATCGCAACTGCCTTCCCACTGGCAGCTATTGGTCGTTAGAATGCCTAATATATTAAAAACAGCTAAAATACAATACTGTGGTGTTAATGCTAGATGCATCTTGTGTAAGTAGCTCAAAACATGTCGCAAATAATATTTACCGAACGGCCGAACCAAATTTTAACTAAAGCCAAAACCTTGTTGGTTAGAACAGATTCAAAAATTGCTGATCAGGTTTTTAGTTAGAACATTTATTTATCTGAAACAGACACATTGAACAGTTAAACTTTCTTCAAAAATTAGTAACACGTAATTCAGTTAATTTTTTAACTAAAATAAATGTAGGTATTGTTCATCTAAAATATAAAGAACTAAAGCCAATTTACCTGGAGCAGTTACATGTTTAACTTGGGACAGCTTTGGCTTTTCTAAACTTTACATTCATCTGAAGTTATTACACGGTTATCTGTTTAAATTGTTTATCTGAAGACTTTTTTAGTGTTGGTCTCCATCCCCCCCAATGGTATATAGGTACTAACATAATAACAGGAAACATAATCATTAATTTTAACTTTTTTATCTAAACAATTTAATCAATATTAAAAAAAAAAAACGTTTGCATTATAAGATACAATTATTCGTTGTAGCTACCTGCCGAAGTAATCAAGAAACTCAGTGAAAATAAACAAGTATACCAAATAATTCTGGAAAATTATCCCAATTTGTTAAAGAGTAAAAGTGCATCAAATCAAGAAATTCATTTACTTGAAGACAACTACTCCGGTGCATCCAGAGTTCCGGTGAAATTTTCAATGACTGTTCAAAAAACTGAAGATACCATACCTGAGGAAGATGAAGAAAGCGAAGAAGAAACAAATAATCATCAAAATCCTCTACTCAATACAACTAAAGAAACGGAAGATGAGCCAGAACCTCATAGCTATTTAAACAGCATTTTAATAAAAAGAAACTTAAGTTTTATTAAGAATGGTGATACAAACACCAACACTGGAATTAAAGTGAGCATGTCAAGTCCAGACATGTATACTGTATATCGAAACACAGTAACTAACAATATTCCAAGCAGAAAAACTAAAAAGGTGAGTAAAATTATGAATTTTTTATATTAAAGATTGTTATCTCCGTCTGACTAATTGACTTTTTTTAGAAATGGTATGTACAATTTTACAAATCTGTAAAAGGGCTGCTAAATTTTTCATTATTTTTGGAACTACATTTCTTTCTACTCTCCGTCTCAACAACCATATTGTTCATATGGTTTATAGTGCCATATTTTTATATTGCAGAATATATGACAAAAATTGGATATAGTGCATCGCAAGCTTCATTTGTCTTAGCAGCAATTGGATTAACTAATACGATAGGCATGGTAAGTGCACTACGACCACCTTTTTAAAACCTAACCTAACCTCGCATTTAATTGTTGATGTGTAAGAAAAATAAGTCATTGGGTGATAAATCAGGAGAAGTTGAAGTATACCAGTAACACTACCTAAATCAAACAAGCATTAGGAACGATATGAGACTAAAAAAACTTTTGCTAATTCCATTTAATAAACCCTAGACTAGACCCTCCAATGTATAAAACTATAACCCTACACATTAGTAAAAACATAGCCACAGTGAGCAATTTTACTTAAAACAGTTAAATAATATAAAAACCAAATGTGAAATAAATGTGATTAAGTCCAAAATAACTTTTTAAAAAACAAATTTCAAGAATATAAATTTTATTACTAGTTTCTACAATGAATGCTAAATTAATAATGAATTGTTTCACATAAAATAAAGGAAAGGTGAAACGAACGTGAGAATGCAATCTTGCATTCTCCTGGCATCGAGTTACGCAGAGTTGACTGTACTGCAACCATAACTTGTGGTTATAGCGCTAGTAAAATGTACAATAATAAAACGTATGAAATGGTCCTAGGATGAAAATCAAAATCAGGGCCGACAAGAGGGGGGGGGCAGTCGGGACTAATTCCCGGGGCCCGGGCTCAAGTGGGGGCCAGCAGCGGTATAAGGGGGACAATATTTGAATGTTGTTACTGTTTAAAAACTTAACAGCTCATTGTGCTGTAGGTGCGCTTACATTGTCATGATGAAGAATAATTCGTCGGTTTAAAGTATTTCTTCTTTTTTCGGCGGATACTTCCAGGAAACAAATTGAAGTATATAATTCAGCATAAAGTACCTCCCATGGCCTAATGCAGTAGTTCCTAATCTGTGGGTAGCAACCGTCAAGGGAATCGCGATATTTACTTGGAAGCGGACATAAGTTCTCACTTGCAAAATATACTTAATATTCAATCAGATGACATCAATGAAGAATTACTGTTTTTTAGTGCACTAATAACTATTACAATAGGTGACTATATCGCCGACTAGACAAATACTTTCTTTGAAACTGAAGAAATACATTAGAAAACCGCCTTGGGTATTTTCATATACATATACAAGTTGCCTTTGACCACCTTCCCCAAGTTAATACACTTACTAATCAGCAGGAATGTTTCACAGACGGTTAGTGGATGGATACGTAACATTCGTATGCAGATGACCTAAAAATTATAGAACATTGGTGTAAGGGCCATTCACTGTCTATCATCCTAAGAAGACAGAAATAATAATTTTCACAAGAAAAAATGATTAAAAAGATACTAAAACCTCCAGACCTCCTAAACATAAAACTTAACTTTGAAACAGGGGTGAAGTACCTAGGTCTCACCTTTAACAGCAAGTTGGAATAGAATCTGACGTTAGAATCTGGTCGCTATTGGTAGGAGGCGTTCGATACGATACCACTTCTTCAAGCTAACAAGAGCACCTTCTCACCGAGATGTATCTTCGATAAACCATATAAAGTTATAACGTAACAAAATAGAAGAGTCGAAAGTAGCAGGTACGATTCATGTCTACACTGACGGTTCTAAAACAAAACATTGCTCAGGATTTGGAATAAATTCCAGATTCTTAAACATGAATGGGCTGTGAGTAACAGTGCCAGTGTAATTCAAACCGAGCTCACAGAGATTTTCACGGCAGCAAAATAAGTGACCTGAAACAATATTACTGGAACGAACATGCTCATCTATACAGATAGAAGACAAGCACCACTTACCCTGGGCAGACCACGCATTTACTCAGGGGTAGTACTAGAATGTCACTAAGCTTTGACCAAAGTATCCATCAACAATGTGGTCACCTTAAGATGGATCAAAGGTCATGTCACTTCGAAAGGTAACCGGCTTGCTTATTAACCAGCCAAGAAGGCAGCCATCCAAATAATTTTTGAACCTATCCCTTCTATTGTACTGACAACATCGGTAATGACAAGTCTAATTAAAGAACATTTCCTTGTGAAATTCAAGGAAAAAATGCGATTAAACAGAAGGCTGCAGAGTTACCAGGGAGCTTTTAAAATATCTTAAAAACACTACAGCAAACAAATACTTGTCTATGACTAGACAGAATATTTGCCTGATCATAGGCATTCTGATTAGTCATTTCCAAGTACGGTCAGAATTCGCACTCTGCAGAGGGTGCACAAGAAGATTAGACCATCGAGCATATCCTCTACGATTGCCTTACGCTTTCACTTATTAGAATATTTATTTTCGGCGATCGTTTCCCTTCTAAAAACAATTACTGCCTTGGCAAATATCTCAACAGGTATCAAATTACATCCAAAGGGAAGACAGCAGAGATGTAAATTAAATTTTAACACTCTACCTTTGATTTGGCTCACTAAGGAGAACGTGATTCTTGGACCGGTTTCGTCCTTATTAGGACTCATCAACAGGAAATAGATGGTGCTCAATTGAAGTCTCAAATGGAATTAATGAAGGCAAGACAATAAGGACAAAACCGGTACAAAAATGACGTTTTCCTTAGTGAGCAAAATCAAAGGTAGTGTTAAAATTTAATTTCCATCTCTGATGTCTTTCCTTCCTGTTGAGGTATTACCCAAGGGAGTAGTTGTTTTCCAAAGGGAAATGATCATTCCTATTTTGTGACATACGTTTTTGTGTTTTAATTATTTTACTTTACGTCTTGGTCATATTTTTTTAAAAATTGCCAGCCTGACTTTTTAGTTCCACTTAGTATTATAATTGGATACTACAAGCGATCTTTAATTTTGTTTGCTAGGAAAAGATGACGACACCATTTTTACTACTTGAATTCATATTCTGTTCGTAACTAACATTATTGTATACTAGTAAATATGTTGCCTTCGTTAATTCCATTAGATACTGGAATTGAGAACCATCTATTTCTTGCGGAAGATTCCTAATAAGGACGAAACCGGTCCAAGAATGACGTTCTCATTAGTAAGCACAATCAAAGGTAGTGCTAAAATTTTATTTCCATCTCTGCTATCTTTCTTTTGAATGCAATTCAATACCTGTTAAGGTTTTGGCCAAGGAAGTAGTTGTTTTCCGAAGAGAAACTGTCACTCCTATTTTGTAACATATTGCTTTATGTTTTACTTATTTAATTTAAAGATGCTAGGTTAAAAATGACAAACTTTGACAATAACTGAAGTGCCTACTCGATTCCGCTATGTTTAGCAGTACTCCTTGAACTCTAAATCCTTTCTACTATTGGCTGTCAAAGCTTTGCTGATGGTATCTAGTTTATTTTTTAATAAACTACTACTTTCTAGTAAAAAATTCTTCAGGGTGTCGGATTAAAGAAAATGCGCATTAAATTTAATATTTTTAGGTTTTTCTTGGATGGGCAGGAGAACGACTGAACATAGCAAAAACGTACGCCATTTGTTTAATATTATGTGGCGCTAGTATAGCCTGCATAATACTTTTCTCTGGAAACTTTGTAATGCTGGTAATAGCGTGCGCGCTCTTCGGACTATTTTTTGCTAGTTGTTTTTCGTTACTGCCATCTTTGCTTGGAGAATTAGTACCACTGGAGGATTTTACAATGGCTTATGGTTTAATTTTACTTTGTATGGGGGTAGGAAATCTCGCTGGTCCTCCGCTAGCAGGTAAAGTACTCCAAAAATATTTTTAACAATAACTATAGAGGCATACAATTAACCATTTTAAGACGAAAGAGACATATCTCTTGACATTCCTTTCGTTATTTAAATTTAAAAAATACCTACTCTAATTTAAAATTATTTATTTTAGGTTTTCTCTACGATTTGACAAAGTCTTGGGATCTATCATTTTATCAAGCAGCTGGTTGGATTATAATAAGTGGCGTACTAATTGGAATTATTCCGTATAAAAAAAATAGAAAAATGATATGATCTGGCCTAATTCTTAAAGATATAAGATATTTATTTTTGTTGTACCTTTATTAAAAATAAAATTCTGTCGAATAATTAAGGATGCTTTTATTAGAATCTTTAACGGGAATGGAGTTTGTTCTATGATTTTAAGTTTTATTTAAGTACAACTGTTAAATACTTAAAGAAATACCAACTACTACTAATGCCTTAGGCCGAGGAGCCGAGGTAACACGATTACTACACGACGTTTTGCCAGGTCCGTATCCAGAATAAAAAGAGTATAACGTTATACCTCCCAATTTGGATTAATCCTTGTCTCGAGGGTGGATACAAGAGAAAGATTATTCTAAATGGGGAATACACTAGCTGTCATCTTCATAACGCACTGGTGGACGTCTTTGTCGCCGTGCCTTTACAGAGCGACAGGGCATCTGGTTAGCTGAGCTGGAGATCTCAGAATCGGATATTTGAGTATCGCTAGGAGCAGAATCCTATGTTTGGTTGTCTGAGGTAATGGGTCGGGGTGACCCTCATCTTGGTTGAAAGGTTGCAACGCTGAGACGTGGTATTTGCCAATAGATATCGTTGGGCGTTCTACGGCAGCTAACTCATACGATGTAGGAGAGTTCTGTTTCAGAACTATATAGGGATCGTCGCGTCGCGGCGCGAATTTACTGAGCGCATGCGTCTCTACTAAAACTTTTTCACCGGACTGATAGGATTTCGATTGTCGCAATTGTTTATCAGCAAATCGTTTAGACGAATTTTGTTGATATTCGTCAGTCTTCTTGGCACGGAGAAGGCAGTCTATATGTTGGCGCAAGAAAGGTGTTATCTTGGGGATCGTAGTATGTCCTGTAACCGCACTCACAACACTGTTCATAGCGAAACGTACACTTGATAGCATTTCATCCCACTTGGTATGATCATTTTCTACCAAGATCGAGATTTGGACTTTTTGTGTTCTCCCGGATGGGAAGCGGGATGGTATACAAGAATAACTGACTGATTTATATCTAGGCAACAGGAAACCTGTTGCATGATTTTACTAACAAACTGGAATCCCGTTATATCTTATTACTTTGCGGGGAGTCCCGTAGCTAAACCAGACTGCATTGACCAGTTTCCCCACGCATTCTTCAGCAGTCGCTTGTTTTAAAAGAAATAGCCCAATCCATTTTGAAACCGTATATGATGGCGTAAATCCAACAGTTTCCACTATAAGTAGGAGGCAGAGGCACAAAAAGGTCAATCGCCAAACACTCGAAACGTTGGTTGGGTACAAGAGTTTGCATTAATCCTGCGGGCTTCACGTTAGTGGGCTTATATTGTTGACAGCTTACACACTTTCTTATGTGTTGTGATACATCTCACCGAATTGTAGACCAATAATATAATGTCATGAACATTCCTAAGCCATCTTTGTCTAAACTCTAAAGCGAGCGACCTTCAGCTTGCCACCCGACTCATGTTCGAAACGACGGAATCTTCTAGAAATGCCGCTGACGCTCGAGAAACGGCCAGAACGGGCGATGCGTGCCGTTAAATCAGAGATGAAATTTTCGGGAGCGTCTAGAGACTTCTCGTAGCAGAGTTGGACTTTGTATAAATAGCCGACTTATCGGCGATCAGTTTAGTTTAGTAAAAAGTGTTGATCAGAAAAGTTAAATGTAATAAATAAATTAGAATTGTGAGTTAGTGCCTAAGTATTATATAAATTAATTAGTACGTCATAAATAAATTGTAAATAGTGTGTTTTGAAATAAATAAACTCTAAATAAATTAGACTATCGTCACATATTGGTGTTAGAAGTGGAGCTATAAATAAATAGTGGATAATAATGGCTATAAAATTGTGTGATTTAAAAGTGGCCGAATTGAGTCGAGAATTAGAGGATCGTGATCTGGAGATGACAGGGAAGAAAGCAGAGCTGGCTGAGCGGCTTAAAGAAGCAATGGAAATCGAAGGTTTGGATCCGGAAATATTTCTATTTGCGGATGATGCGTCTTCTATAATTTCTTCGTTAGAAAGTCAAATGTCAACTATGAAAACCGATATTTCTTCATTAGATAGTAAATTTTCTTCCATGGAAATTAAAGTTTCTTCTGACATTACATCCTTGGAAACTAAAGTTTCTTCCGATGTTTCCTCTATAAAAAATTATATTAGTTCCTTAGAAAGTAAAGTTTCTTCAGACGTTTCTTCCTTAGACAGTAAAGTTTCTTCCTTAGAAGACAAGGGGGCCTGGCAGCTTTAGGTAAGGACGTTTTATTTTTTTAGAAGTTAGTCTCAAAAGGGAGGACTTGTTTTACGAAAAATATAAAGTGAGGACGTTTTTTTTTTAGATTTCATTGAAAAAGAACCTAAGTTTTTGCCTGAGGGCTTTTTTTTAATGATATCGAAAGGGCTTAATATAAAATTGTCCCGGTGCCTACCTGGCTCTCGGCGGCCCAGTTCACAGGCCCTTTTCTTCCATTACAAAGGTCACATTCCTTACACTAATCTTCTACATCCCGTTGGCAATTGAACCAATAAAATTTTTCCCGAACTCGTGCAAGTGTCCTTTTAGTACCAAAGTGTCCTCCTGAACGGCTGCTATGAAGCTCCTCCAACACACTTTTGATCTGTGCGTTCGGCAGTATCACTTGGCGGACTACATGTACTCCATCAGGGCTTTCCCGCTTCCGGTGCAATAGGCCTTCGTGAAGATACAGGAAATCCCACTAAGTCCAGTTCCCTTTGATAATTCCACTACATCTGGCTATCTCTTGCCAAGTATGCATGACTCTATTTTTGAGCCATTCTCGGACAACCTTCAATGCATTGTCATTCTTTCGAGTCTTTCTCAGGTTTTCAAGGGTGATTCCGTCTTCATGATCCTCTGGCTAGATAGTAGTCGCCTGAAGACTAACTTCTTCAACTGACTCCTCTCGTTCCTCGAGCCTTTAACAGTATCGGCCTTGGTGTTTTAAACAGGGTCTACAATAATTGCGTTTGCTAAAATAAAATGTAACAGCAAAACACAAAATAATTAAACCAATTTAAGTATATTCAAACAGATCTAATATCTGGCAACGATATATTAAAATTATATAATTAAAATAAACTAATTTGGTGCCAAATTGCCAAGTTTAAAAACAATTAATTTTTAATGATTTCTTAGAAGATTCTAACTTTAGTAAGGAATAAATATATTTTAAAGAGACCCGATTCATTTGTTAAGCTCTTTAAATAAATATATAAGGAACTTCGCTCCTATGCGACTAGTCTATTGCAATGACATATCCGCGCCATAACCACAGTAAGTAATCTGTGATAACCAGGTAGTAATTTGCTTGCTATATTTGTGTAACACATCACTCTCAATACAATTATCGATATATTACGAAGAGTGAGTATTGCAAAAGGAGCCGGAAAATAAATCAAAATACTATACCATAAAACTTAAAAAATAAAATTTATTAGAAATATTTACGTGTTATAATTATTAAGTTCAAATGTAATTTTTCTCCCATTAATTCAATACAAATAATTGTTTTTATACAAATTATTAAAATATTATCATAAATATTTGATAATAACTATGAATATTAGAGAGCCGGTAAGTGTAAAAGTAAGTAGTTTTAATTTTTGAGTATTTTTAATTCTGGAATAGGTTTCAGATTCAGAAGTAAACTACTCGTGTTATCAATGGTAATTATAAATAGATTTTGTAAAAACCATTTCGGTCAAAATTAAGTCGCAATGATCCAGTTTTAAAAACATAAATCATTTAAATCATACATTTAAAAATTACTCTTGCCAATAGTACTTAACACAGCAATTTACTTCTGAGATGCAGAGTATGCTAAAATTATATGTCTTTTATAGAGTAGTGCATGAATAAATATAATAGGTACCTTATACGTAATAAAATATAGGGTATCCAATAAATATGTAATTTCCTTTTAGGTATTAGTAACTAAATAAAAATTGTTAACATTAGAAAGAACATAAAATGTTAAATGAATGAAATAGGTAGTTAACTCAAAATATGTACCTACCACATAATTAGTAATAACAATAACAAATAAACAGCAACCGGCATAGCTCAAGAGCCATTATTAGGCCTATAAGAAAAAGTTGTTTAATAAGTAACAAACCTAAGGATAACTAACGATAAAAGTACCGATTATTTACCCTGGAAAGCTAAAAAACTACCCACCAATCAGAAATAGAGATGGATGGTGGGCCCGAAACAATTTATAGAGTACCTTCCAACCCACTAATGGTGAAGATCTTCAAGACTGGATGGAACTATCTCAAGAAGACACAGAAACCTATTATCAAAATGAAAATGTTCAACCTCATCAATGCGTCCTTTAGACTAAACTACGTACCAAAGATGTGGAAGGTGGCAGAAGTTATGATGATACCTAAGCTAGGTAAATTTCCCCTTGAAGTTACATCGTACAGACCCATCTCCTCGTTACTTGGTATCTCGAAACTCTATGGAAAATTGCTTAAGAGATTGAAACCTATACTAGAGGAAAAGGACCTAATACCTTCCCACCAGTTTGGCTTCATAGAAAAACACCATATTGATATAAAACATGTTTAACATGTTTTTGGGGACTGCTCCTGTTCTATTAGTTATGGTATGGTTCCATGAGGATAAAGTTCGCTTTCAAGAAGAAACAAATGAGTTAAACAGAAGTTATACCTAGTAAGTTTTCCACTTTTTTTCTCTTTTTTCCTACATTTAAAGGTGAATAATTTTAGTGCCCGATTTGTGTATTTTTAAAAAAATTATCAATTTAGGTTTTTTATTATTATGGTTTTAAAGTTTTATAACTTTCATTCATATAATATGTATATTTATGTTGTTTTCTTTCTGTTAAACAAGGTGTTTAATTTGTACATAAATTATTAAAGGTACTTATTTATGATTAAAAATTTCTATAAATTCTTGAAATATCGAGTGTACGTTATATTTCAACAATTTTTATGTTGAAAATATTCAAAATACCAAAGTTGGCGACACTGTTGGTCAAAACGGTGACAGTTGCCAGTTTGTCACTAGAACTTTCTAGGTCATATTTTATGCAATGTCACTTGTTTACAATAAATCCTTGGTCTA